GGTTACTATAGCTTAACGTTAGCTCCACTCGTCTTATATGCATGATAAGTTTAAGCAACACTCAATCTACACAATCAAGTGACAATCATTAATCATCACTTCGGATAATTTCAAATTCACTAGGTTCTAAATACCTATAACACCCAAATTCCTTATCTAACCACACCGATCATTTCAAAACACTCTAACCTTCCTATTAAGCATCCTAACATACCAAAATCATTAGCCAATTTTCCACATTATCTCAAAACCTTTAAATTATGCCTAGGGTTCATCCAACCTCTCAAATAAAATTCTAAATCACTATAAAACTCTTAAACCTAAGGTTAGAGGCTTGATCTAACTCCCCAAGACCTTAAACAAGCCAATAGATTCTGTCTAAACCCAAGAAAACTGAACACAAGCCCCCTATTACCCTACAAGTCTAGATTTTCGCATTATGAGGGAGAGGGAGAAGAAAGGAAAACTTACCCAATGTATATCAAACTTGCAAGTCCTCTAAAATTACATTGGAAGTAAGCCCTAGCAGCCACAAGCTCCTCTTCGTCGCTCCTCTCACATTCAACCTTTCCTCTTTTTTGATTTTCAGTCTGGTTCATGATTTGTTAAGTATAGATTTTGCATGCCTGCCTTGGTGCATTGACATGCCTGCCATGGTGCATAGCATAGAAAATCCCACCAAAATTTTAAACTCCCTTCCGTGCTATAACCCACTCAAACATCGACCTAGCCTTCTTTTAAGGCTGTCTAAAGATTCAAAAACTATATTAGTCTCCCATAAACCTCATTAATTAATAATTTATCTAAATTCTTAATTCAAAAACCTAGGATGTTACAGATAATTTGGTAGAGATGGAATAAAAATATAATTAATGATTATATTTTGCTTGATATTACTATAAATAACTATATATATATATATATATATATATGTTAGGTTAGATATTTTCTAAATTGAAAGTATATTTTTAATGTTTTTATGTTTCTTATAAACATATTTGCATGTATTGAAAACATATTGTATCCTATATTTTTAAAAATAAAAGTATCAATGTATCAAATATGTATTGTATCCAATACTTATATCAGCATTTGTGCAACATACTGGAAGCTGTATGCACATGTCCTATACTCATCAAGTTTTGACATAGATGTTTTTTTCAAGCGCTATAAATTCTTTTACAAGATATGTGAAATAATATATATATATATATATATAATATAGAATTAACTTTTTTTTGTTTTCTCAGGACATCATCATAACCTTTGTAAGATGTATCCATATATCTTGCATAAATCATAATATAGAAATATTATTTTTAGAAAAAATGATTTCTTTTTTCATATCATGAGAAGTAGACTCTTTTGATAGAAGATATTATCTCTCTTGAAATACGATAGATATTTCTTAACTAAGTTGCTACATGTAGAATGATTGGGATTTGAATTTACAACCATTTGCTTAAGTGATGAAGAAAAAATAATTTCTCATGTATATATATATATATATATATCAACAAGAAGACACATATTGATATCCTAGGAAATACATAAATATTCTCATTTTCTCATACCTAAAATATTTATTAAGGAAAAAAAAAAGAAATGTCAAAGTGATGTCATGCACACGCAATCACCTCAAAGTTACATGTTCTTTTTTGACCTTCAAGTACATGTTCTTTGTCTACCCAAAAATGAATAAAGAACGAAACATGTTCTTATTACGTGAGGGTGGGAATGTTGATTCATTGCAATCATCAATATCAGTTAATATAAAAAATAAAAAATTTATGGAGACATGATATTTAAAGGGAATGACAGTTAAATCTTCAAAGATCAACTTAATAATATTTAAATTTTTTTATTAAAAAATAAGTTGCAAATAATAATTTAAATATTCACATTTATAAAGAAGGTAATTTCTAATTTTAATTCTTATTGTAAATGCATTAACCATAATTTTTATTCAAAAAAATGGAGTCAAGGCCGAGCCTTTGGTTAAGCTAATTGGGCTAGGTATTTGCTTTTCGAAGCCCACGAACCATATTAGTTCTTTAATGGGCACAGCGGCAGTTTTTTTTTTTTTTGGGTAAAATAGGCACATTGGTTTAGCATTTAAAATAAAACGCACAGCTTAACTTGAGATCTCATACTTGAGTCTTAAGATGTAGCAGCATAGCTAAGTATGTAAAGCATACCTTATCAATGGTACCTGAGAAATCCCCTCAAAAGGAGCCCCATTAAGTAAGGATCCAATTAGTCTAGAGTGGACTAGGTGGAGAATAAATCTAACATACCCAAACGTTTTAGGATACTTGGTGCGAAAGCAAAATAAAATAAAACAAGATGTCCATATAGCCAATTTGGTTAGGTTTAATAGAAGGGGTTAATCTTTTATAGCGTGATGAATGTATTTTTGAATCTAAAGAGGTTCTTACATTTATGACAAAAAAATATTGCCCATATATTTTGTATTTTATGACAGGTTAGGCTCCATAAAATAGGACTCAAATGTAGAGGAAAAAAAAGGTCTCAAAGCCTGGAATGAGCTTCAAAGTCTAAATTCTAAAGAAAGTGGCAAAACATATCAAAATTTCAAGTCAATAAATTAGAGTTGAGATTGGACAGGCTTTATTTACAACTTGAGGCTATCCCTCCCCTCCTATTTTAAATACTTGTATTTAACTAATAGAGTTGAATCTGACGAAAGGAGTCATATCTCATAATGTGATGAATTAAGATTTTAATTCTTGTCGGCCAATACTAAAAAAAGTGAAAATATTTCTTGCCAACAATGGAGAGTGTCCTTTTAATTGTGTGAGAGAAGAAACCATAATTCACATTCTCAAAGAGTGTGACACAGCTAGAGGTGTGTGGAATAGTATGATTTCTCTTAACTATTATTCTGCTTTTTTTTTTCCTAGCAACTTGCAAGTATGGCTACAATGGAATGCAAAACACAATCTAGGAAGAACACATTCAAAAAATGGCCATGGATCCAGGTCTTTGGTCAAATTTGTTAGTTACTATGGAAGGCAAGATGTACCAAATTATTTGACAGGAAGCAGAGAAAGGCAACGGACTTCGTTCATAGGCATGTTCTTGCTAATGGAGGATCAATGCAGCAACTAACACAAATATCAAATCCTTCAAAACTCCGCTACCCCTAGCTACCCAATGGATCCCACCACCTGAGGGCACCATTTGAGTAGACATTGATGCATCAACAAATTCACTAAACCACTTGGCTTGTGGAGGAGTGATTAGGAATGACAAAGGAGGAGAATGGCTACTGGGCTTTCGATGCAGTCTTGGTGCAATGCCCATCTCAATAGCAGAAATCTCAGCAATTCAAGTAGGATTGGAATTATGCCAACAACAAGGCTTCTCCAAACTCATGATTTATTCAGATTATGTGGAAGCTTTGAATCTCCTTTTCAAAGATTGTGGCTTCGACCACCCGTACAAAGGGGTAATCAATAAGACAAGGAAACTCATCTATAATGATTGGGATATTGATACTCCAAGAGACACTATTAAGTGTGCCGATTCTCTGGCCAATTAGTTCATATGACAGGGGATTCTATTTCTTCTTGTAACTTCGTTTGAGTATGCTAATCTGTTTTAGCTTTATTTAATTTTAATTCGTACTTTGTCCTTACAAGCTTTGGCTTGCCGTTACATTTAAAAAGAAAAAAGGCCCTCTCAACCTCAAATGCTGCTTCCCCTTCCTAATTCCTAATAATAAATAAATAATATATAAATTAATTAATAATAATAATAAATAAACAAGTGACTTTATATTCAATCATTTACAATATTAGAAAATAATGCAATGAAAAATCAAACATTGATAATTACTAATTCAAGTATGCTTCTAATCAAACTTTATTTCAACATTGATTTATATTTATTTTTTTGGATAAATTCTGAATTTATGTCTGAAATACTTGCCTGTTAGAAAGCTCTTTCTTTATTTTAGGCTAAAATTCATCAATTAATAGTTTTGAAGTTTGACTGCCAAGTTTTTTTAGAGTCTTGTCATCTAAATGCTATGACAGTTGTAATTGATTGTTTCATGGGCTGTTATATGATCTAATACATAGTACTGAATCTTTTTCTTTGCTACGCTTCTCTCTGGTTAGATGATTAGGGAATCTTGTTGCGGAATATTTCACTGACTCTGCTTCTAAGAGAGTGGAACCTTTGGGTTGGGTTCATGAACCTTTACTCCCTCTTTCATCAATACTCTTTAAAGATTCATATTCGTTTTAGACTATCTCACAACAGTTATTTTCTATTTATAATCGAGAGGGAATTGGCTAAATGTTATTTTGTTTTTTTTTGTGTTGTTGCCTTTGCCTTTGGCTTATGGCTTAAATTCTGTTCTCTTTCCATTTAATGCATCTTTCCCCTTTACTGGTTAAAAAAAAAATATATTTGACATGGTGCTAATTATTAGAATTGATGTTGTAATCTGATTTCTTTATTTGTACTGGATTTGAGTCTATTTGTATTTTTAATAAAAAGAAAGATAATTAATTTTTTATAATTTAAATATTTGAGTCAGTTTGAATTGAAGAAGCCTGAAATCTAATAGTATTAAAAACTGGAATTGATTATATATGTATTTTTATATTAAATTTATTCAGATCCAGCACGAATTAAGTTGGGCGTGAATAATCCTGACCTCCCAATCCCAAGTTACCTCCTATTCTTAACCCCTCCCCAGTTCGGGTAGTATGTGTTTTCTCTCTCTCATTTGACAAAACCCTCTCAGCCTCACTAGCTATCAGCGCCGCCGGCTTCGCAAGTTTCACGAAATTCGCGACTTCGTGCCCGCTCCTTCGTGTCCGCTACTGGTTCGTGCCTATCCCTATTATTAATTAATAATTTTTATTATTAATTTAGCATTATTTATTTATTTATTTTGGAGAAACACCTCCTCACTAATTCCCATCAAACGGTCTCTCGTCTGGGTCTAACACCTCTATAAATGCCTAACCCTCTTCCGTCTCCAGTGACCTCACTTCACTTCTAGCCGCCGCTTCTCTTGCTCCAAGCCCTCATTCCGTCGCCGTCTTCGCTCCCATAATCGCCTCTCTTCCCAATCTATGATCCTCTCTTGCTTCTCATCTCTCAATCTCTCTACTCTCTGGGCAGGCTTTAAACCTTCATTCGAGGCTGATACAGTGGAACGAACTCTACATTGTAGCTCGACTCTCAAACCATCTACTCTCTCTTTTCTGAGTTCGGTATTCGAGCGAGTAGAACGACTTCGCGTTCGAGTGTGTCAGTCTGGTGTTGAGGAATATTGTGAACCTTTTTTCCGGTATCTTCTCAGTCTTCCCTGCCTCTGTAATTTTCGTTAGTGTAATTATATACACCAATTGAGTGAGAATCAGATTTGAATAAAATGCACTCTAAGAAACTGATTTTCTTGTTTTCATTTCTAAAGAAATAATCTTAGTTCCAACATACTGTATTTTGGGCTGTAGTCCATACAATTATTATATGGACTTCATTCTTGATTTCTGCCGTAGAAAATTTGCTGGATCTGAAGCGTCTTTGTTCCTTTAGTTTTTGAACATTTGCTTCAGCGCTAACCATGCATCCACTATGATTCTCTATTTCTCTAACCATAGCATAGGGAATACGAAATGATGCAATACTAAGAGGTGCCTCTGGACTAGCAGATTCTGAACTGTAGATTCTTGCTTTTTCTCGTAGGTTCCATAATTTCTTGCAAAATATGGTTAATCTGCACCTATCCAACACGGTTTTCTTGTTGATTATTCATTATGATGTTCTGAACTTTCATAAATCTCAAATGTTTGCGGGCCGCTGGATGATTGTTCCAACATACTGTATTTTGAGCTGTATTGCATACAATTATCATATGGACTTCATTCTTGATTTCTGCCGCAGAAAATTTGCTGGGTCTGAAGCGTCGTTGTTCCCTGAGTTTTTGAACAGTTGCTTCAGCGCTGGCCATGCATCCACTATGATTCTCTATTTCTCTAACCATAGCATAGGGAATACGAAAGGATGCAACACTAAGATGTGCCTCTGGACTAGCAGATTCTGAACAGTAGATTCTTGCTTTTTCTCGTAGGTTCCATAATTTCTTACTTGCAAAATATGGTTAATCTGCATCCGTCCATCATGGTTTTCTTGTGGTTATCCATTATGATGTTCTGAACTTTCATGAATCTCAAATGTTTGCGGGCTGCTCGATGATGATTGATTTGCTTTAACCACACCGAATAGAGGCTGTAAAGGGTATAAGGCCTCTTTCATTGAAGTCAGAAATAAACTTCCTGTGCTTGATATTGCTTGATGATTTCATTTTCTAAAAGAAGAGGATTCGTTTCCTTTTTATTTAGAGAAAGAGAGAAGGCTTTGTCAAGCACTTGAAGTAGGTTGGTTTTATTGGTAAAGGCTTTCCCTTTCAAGTTCTCTCATGTGGAAAACCTTGGCCTTTCGACTGAGAGCAATTTGCCAATTTTTATGCCAAAGTATTTAAAATCTAGTACTTTAGAAGTGATTTAGTATTTGATGATAATTAATGCCGGGTGTTAACTAGGTTAGGTAAGGGTTAATTGAATCATTTGTTTGAGTGCTAGATCTTAAGACTAAAAAGAAGTTGCTTTTGATATATTTCTCGTTTATTGAGATAAATTTCCTCCCATCTTAATACTGTCTTGTAAGTTGACATTGGATTTTACTTTTTTCATGATGCGTAGGATGTGAATTAAAAAGTATTTTCCCCTAACCAATCATGGAATGAAAATCATGAGCTTATAATTATTGGATATCCTTTCTACATGTTATTGATTAGAGACTTGCCTTGGATTTTGTCGTCACTTGTTTGAAGTCAATCTGTTTGTTGTCTTTCCTCTTTAGAAAAAATGTATACAAACCATTATTATAGTTTATATATAACATTTTCTTCGTGTGGCAATGTAACTAAGTCTAACTTTTATTCTTGGAAAATGGCACCAAATTTTCATTTCCTAAAATAATACCCAAGGACCTTAGAAGATGCATAATAACACTCAAGAATATTAAATTTTGAAATGACTTTTAAAAGTAAGAAACTCCATTGTAAATTGGAAGTGCATTTGTAAACACTAGAAGTTTAATTGTACTTGATTGAGCTTGTGTGATCTATAATTGTATTTTCATGATTCCCATATAAGCTTTCAGATTCTAGAACTTAAATGGCATAGGAATCTGAAAATGGGGTTTTGGATAAATTCTACAACTCACAACATGGGAATCCAAAAGGAGAGTTTCAGATGGTTTACCATTGACTATTGAGCTTTTATTGTGCATGGAACTTTCGGAAATTTGTTGCTGAGCTTTTGGTTTTCAAAAGTCATTGTTTTTTCTGTCAAGTATGGGTATCTTGGTTCATAGCTTTTTTTTTTTTCACTAGACAAGGACCTTGGCTTTTATAGTGTCAGTTCAAAATTTAAAGTCCTTGTGTGTAATATACTTAAGTGTCATTTTCCCTTTATTGTATTCATTGACACCAGTCTTGTGTGATCGAAGGATATTTCGTTTTATTGACAGAAATTTTAAATTGATAGAATTAAAACTTCTGTAGAACTTTAAAGAACAACAACAACAACAACAACCTTGCTTGTTTGTGAACTTTAAAGAACAACAACAACAACAACAACAACAAGCCTTTATCCCACTAGGTGGGGTCGGCTACATGGATTGCAAGACGCCATTGTGCTCTATCATTTATTAAGCTTTTAGAAATATTATTAATTAAGAGATCACGTTCAACAACTTCCAAGAGTGTTCTCTTAGGCCTTCCTCTACCTCTCTTAATCGGACTCAAAGTTATATGTTCCACTCTTCTCACTGGTGCCTCCCTTGGTCTTCTTTGTACATGCCCAAACCATCTCAACCGATTTTCTACCATTTTTTCCTCAATAGGTGCCACCCTCACTTTTTCACGTATGTGCTCATTTCGAATTTTATCTTTACGTGTATGTCCGCACATCCATCGTAACATTCTCATCTCTGCTATTCCAACTTTATGCTCTTGCTGTCCCGTTAGAGCCCAACATTCACTACTATATAACATTGCCGGTCTGATAGCAGTACGATAAAACTTTCCTTTAAGTTTATTAGGCACCTTACGGTCACAAATAACTCCTTTAGCTTTTCTCCAATTAAACCACCCAGCTTGAATTCTATGTGAAATATCTCCACTGATTTCGCCATCATTTTGAATAATGGCTCCCAAATATTTAAACTTTTCCACTTGAGGTATAATTTGATCTCCCAATTTCACTTCCAAATTATTTTCGAATAGTCCTTTACCAAATTTACAATATAAATATTCCGTCTTACTTTACTCAGACGAAAACCTTTCGACTCCAATGTCCTCCTCCATAACTCAAGTTTGCAATTAACCTCTTCTCTTGTCTCTGCTATAAGAACTATATCATCCGCGAAGAGCATACATTTCGGGATTTCCTCTTGAATATGTTCCGTCAAAACATTTAAAATCAAGTTGAACAAATAAGGACTCAGAGATGATCCCTGATGTAGTCCAATCTTTATAGGAAAATCCTTTGTTTGACCACTAGGCGTTCTTATACTAGTTTTTACCCCCTCATACATATCTTGTATGGCTTTAATATAAGCAATCCGTACTCCCTTTTTTTCCAACGCTTTCCAAAGCACTTCTCTTGGTATACGGTCATAAGCTTTTTCCAAATCAATAAAAACCATGTGTAGATCTTTATCTTTACAACGATACTTTTCCATTAATCCCCTTAGTAGATAAATTGCCTCTGTAGTTGATCTACCTGGCATAAAACCAAATTGATTCTCAGAAATACTTGTCTCCAATCTCAACCTGTGCTCAATTACTTTCTCCCACAATTTCATTGTGTGGCTCATGAGTTTAATCCCTCTATAGTTAGTACAATTCTGAATATCTCCTTTATTTTTATAAATAGGAATTAATGTACTTCTCCTCCACTCATCAGGCATTTTCTTGGACCGTAAAATCACATTAAATAACTTAGTTAACCATCTCACCCCTTCTTCACCTAAACATTTCCACGCTTCGATAGATATACAATCAGGTCCGTTAGCTCTACCATTTGCCATTTTCTTAAGAGCTTCCTTTACCTCCTTATCACGTATTTTTCGATAGAATGACAAATTTTGTTCTCCTTCACCAGTTACTAAATCCTCCAAGTTACTAGATGAATCCTCTCCATCATTGAAAAGTTTAGAAAAATAAGTCTCCCATCTATTTTTAATTTCATCATCTGTAACTAAAATTCTTCCCTCTTCATCCTTAATACACCTTACCTGTTCTAGATCTCTTGATTTTCTTTCCCTACTCTTGGCAATCTTATAAATATTTTGCTCTCCTTCCTTCGTCTCAAGGTTCTTATAAAATTCTTCAAAAACTTTGGAACGAGCTTCACCCACAGCTCTCTTAGTTTCCTTCTTAGCCATACGGTACCTCTCCCAATTTTCCTCATTGTTACACAAATGTATGGCTTTAAAACAGTTCTTCTTATACTTGATTTTGTCCTGTACACTATTATTCCACCACCAAGACTCCTTATCTCTCGGACCAGAACCTTTCGATTCTCCCAAAACTACTTTTGCAACCTCCCGTATCTTTTTAGCCATATCCTCCCATATGATGTTAGCACTTCCCTGAGAATCCCAAATTCCTTTATCCAAAAGATTTCGCTTGAAAATATCTTGCTTCTCACCTTTTAATTGCCACCACCTAATCTTTGGTGTTACTACTTGTCGACGTTTTTGGATTTTACTCATAATACACACATCAAGGACTAGAACCCTATGTTGTGTCGTTACAGCATCTCCAGGGATCACCTTACAATTTTTACAAAGTTTTCTATCTGTGTTCCTAACCAAAAGAAAATCAATCTGCGACCTTGAGGCTCCACTTTTGTAAGTGATGAGATGCTCATCTCTCTTCTTGAAACAAGTGTTGGCAATCTTAAAATCATACGCCAATGAGAAATCAAGAAGAGTTTGCCCTTCATTGTTTAGCTCTCCAAAACCAAAACCACCATGCACCCTCGCATACTGACCAGCTTCCCTCCCGACATGCCCATTAAAGTCTCCTCCAATAAAAATCTTTTCACTCTGTGGTATGTGTCGAATCAACCCCTCCAGATCCTCCCAAAATAATTCCTTAAGACTGGCTTCTGTCCCAACTTGCGGCGCATAAGCGCTAACAATATTAACAGTCTCACGTCCAATTATCATTTTTAAAGAAATAATTCTGTCTCCAATTCTGCTAACTTCTACAACGTTCTTCTTCCACTCCTTATCTACAATGATGCCTACTCCATTGCGTGCACTTACTTTTCCTGTATACCAAAGTTTGAAACCTTGAATATCCTTAGCTCCTTCTCCACGCCATTTTGTTTCTTGCAAGCAAAGGATATTGATTTTCCTTTGAATCATAACCCCTACAACCTCTACAGATTTACAATTTAATGTCCCAACATTTCAAGTACCAAATCTAATTTTGCTCTTATGGACTAACTTCTTTAGCCGCGTGCGTCCAGAATGACACGGTAGCCCTTGCTCATTTAACACTACATCCGGGCGCCGATGCAGCGGCTCTAACTCACTTATCACTGTACTCGAGCCATGCAGCGCGTTACTTATGGGCAACGACCTAGCATTAACATTATAACGTCTATTGTCCATGTTCATGATAGATTCAACAAATTTTTACATTGGCTGTTGATGGCCTAACACAACCCTCCTTCTTTACCCGGGCTTGGGACCGGCTATAAACATAGGCGGAATTTGTGAACTTTAAAGAACAATGTAACTAAAATATCTTGTTAATTCAGTATGATGTTCTAAACTCCTATAAATCTTGCTTGTTTGTGGACTGCTCAATGATGATTGATTTGCTTTAACCGCACTGAATAGAAGCTTTATAGGGCATCAACCTCTTTCATTAAACTCAAACAAACTTCTTGTGCTAGATATTGGTTTATGATTTCATTTTCTAATAGAAGAGGATTAATTTCCTTTTTCTTTAGAGAAAGAGAGAAGGCTTTGACGAGCACTTAAAGTGTCTGTGTTTAGTGATAGAGGCTTTCCCTTTCAAGTTCTCTCACGTGGAAAACCTTGGCCTTTCAACTGAGAGCAACTTGCCACTTTTTAAGCAAAAATGCTTTTATAGTTTTTATATGTAATTTAGATTTTGCTATCTGATGATAATTAATCCCTGGCGTTAGGTTGCTAACTTGGTAAGTTGAGGGTTGATTGGAATCATTTGTTTGACTGCTAGAGTACAAAGACTGAAAAGGAGAAGCTGCTTTTGAACAATATACCTTAAAGTTTTCTTAATTATATCTTATTTACTAATTTTTGATATCTGTCATGTCAATTGACATTGGATTTCGAGTTTTAATGATGTTTTGGATGGGAATGAAAATCATTACTTTTTCTTAACAAATCATAGCATGTGAATAATGAGCTATAATTATGAAGTTATTAACTGGAAGCTGCCTCAAATCTTTGTTTCACGTTTTATGGAGTCAATCTGTTATTTGGATTGCATTTGAATGGATGGTTTGGTCAGTATGATTTCTATTTCTTGTGTAAAATGAAATCCTAGCGTTCCCTCCCTCTTCCAAAGAAAAATGCATACAAATCATTGCTTTATATATATATATATATATCATGTTTTTGTGACAATGCATCAAAGTTTTTTTCACTTTTTTTGGTAAGTGACAGAAAGCTTTCATTTGTTACATTTGTTTATTGCCATTGGTCTTATTCGTCTGAGCAAAAGATATTGTGTTGTATAAAAATTGAAATTCTAAAATGTCATATTTTTATTTTCCTCATTTACAAGAACTATTTATTCAATATTTTTATTTTAAGATTACCCAATATTTTTGTTTATAGAGTCATTTTCTAGTTTATTTTACATATTAAACCATCCTTTCGACTTCTCTTCATGTTGAAAAGCATTCTTAGTTTCCTACCCCAACCGTTGATCTATTGGATGCTTAACAAGAGGCCATGACAAATAGATCTCACTAAAAGCATTCTTTTTGATAAAACAAGCTTAGGAGGTTGTGACATTCAAAAAGGTGAAAAAAGGTGCACACGAACCATTTGTTTTTCATGTTTCATCTTACTTGTAAAAGTTTTCTAGCATGAGATCCACCGTGGTTTTCACAGCTTTTTCTCAAAATCTAGTTTGCAATTGGGTTTTGGGTGAACTTGGATTGTGAGTTATGCTGTTGATTGTAACTGAAAAATGGTGTACAGGTTCGTGGTAGAAAAATGAGTCTGGAGAATTCTGTTTCCTGATCAATTGAACCACAGATGACGGAAGCATGTCTGAAGGAGATGCCTCCACTATGATTCTCTATTTCTCAAACCATAGCATAGGGAATACAAAAGGATGCAACCCCACCAGGTACCCAACGTGTATGAATCTTAAATGTTTGTGGCTGCTTGATGCTTGATGATGCTTGATTTGTTTTAGCCACATTTGAATCGAGGCTGCTTTAGGCATAGATCTTTCCTTGAAGTCAAACGAACTTGTGCTTGACATTGCTTGATGAATTCATTGTATATGCTTCATGACATATATTTCCACTGTTAGCTTGGCAATTTGGTCATGGGTATATATGTGTGTGGAATTTGCATAAGCAATGATCTTTAAGTAATAGTCTGTCCTTGTATTTCAGGATTGTGATATAATAGTCTCAGAATCTTTTTGCGAGTTTTCTGTAATCTGTACAAGTTACCTTCTATTTTCCCAATCTTTAGTTTTCTCTTCCCATACTGTACCACCAAATTTTACAGTCGCTTGATATGCATGTCTATGTGATGCATGAATGTCCAATTTGCTACGTGTTTATATATTTTTGGTTGTAGTGGATCTCTCTCTATTTTATTGTTTCAGTTTGATATAAATTGTAATTATGCTGAAACAGGGACCCTCTGTTTTTATTTTAAATGGTGAAGGCCCTAAGATGTAGAAAGGTGTCATCTTCTGATAGGAATGCACAAGTACTTGCTTTGTTGAACATTTCACGAAGTTTGAATAAAGAGAAATGCTTTCCTTAATAAGACCAAATCAGAACAGGCAGATACCCCAAAAGACAACTTCATATCTAAATTTTATTGTCAAGTTATCCAATCATTGTTTAGAAACAGCAGTTGATATAGATGAAATTACCAGAATTATTAACGCTCATCCCTTTCCCGAACAACCTCTTCAGCCTGCACTTCTCCGGTACATCCCTCCTCCTACCCTCTCTCCTTGTTTTGTGGAGAATGTTCTTGGGCGGCTATTTGCATCACATTCCAATGGTCTTAAGGCCCTTGAATTTTTCAAATTTTCCCTTCAGCAATCCCCCTCCTGTCCAAGTTCTGATGCCTTGGAGAAGACACTTAATATACTAACAAGGATGCGCTATTTTGACAAGGCATGGGAGTTGTTGGAAGAAATCAGAAACACACATCCTTCTCTGATCACCCTTAAGTCAATGAGCATCATGCTATCAAAAATTGCCAAATATGAATCCTATGAGGATATCCTTGAAGCATTCAGAAGGATGGAGAATGATATATTTGTTGGGAGAAAATTCGGTACTGATGAATTTAATGTACTTCTTAAAGCATTTTGCACGCAAAGACAAATGAAGGAGGCAAAGTCAGTGTTCCAAAAGATGTATCCACGATTTCACTCTGATACCAAGACCATGAATATCTTGCTTTTGGGCTTCAAGGAATCAGGTGATGTAACTGCCGTTGAACTATTCTACCATGAAATGGTTAAAAGAGGTTTTCATCCTAATACCATAACTTATAATATTATAATTGATGCATACTGTAAGAAAGGTTTTTTTGGTGACGGTTTGAGACTCTTGGGGGAGATGGAACGCAGAAATTGCATTCCAACAATAGAAACAATAACCACACTGATTCATGGGGCAGGGGTGGTTCGAAATTCAAGCAAGGCATGGGAATTATTTAATGAGATTCGTGTGAGAAACTTAGTTGCTGATACTGGTGCTTATAATGCTTTGATAAGTTCTTTGGTTAGATCAAAAGATATTAAATCGGCACTTTCATTGATGGATGAGATGGTTGAGAAACACATTGAACATGATAGTGTAACTTATCATACAATTTTCTTCGCATTAATGCGATCCAATGACATTGGAGGTATGATTGAATTTTATGACAAGATGACTCAGAGAAATTTTGTTCCGAAAACACGGACAGTTGTTATGTTGATGAAATATTTCTGTCAAAATTCTCGCCTTGATTTAAGCTTAACTTTATGGCAATATGTTTTAGGGAAAGGATATTGCCCTCATGCTCATGCTTTAAATCTTTTGGTCACTGGGTTATGCTCAAGGGGTCTGGTACAAGAAGCTTTTGAGTGCTCCAAACAATTGTTAGGGAGGGGAAGACACATGAGTGAATCAACATTTTTAATGCTGGAAAGGCTTTTAATCCAGGTAGGTGATGTGGAGAAGCTGAAGAAGCTTGACCAGATGATAAAAGAATTGGAGGCTGTTTTGCCTCCATCTAGAGGGCATGCTAAAGGTATTTCTCCCTCCGGAGAGCTAAATTAGCTTTTATTGTATTTTTCCTGTGAATGTTTACCACCTGATTTAGGTGAATTAATTTAGTGTTCACATTTATATTTGTTGAAATTGCAATTAAACGGACCTCACTTGATAGAGAAGAAAGTGAGCTCTCTCAAGGCGATACGTTGATTAACAACATTCATGTGTAACTCTAGTTACTTGTGATGTGCTCATTTTCTGATGCTCCTTTTGAATCCGTTCACACCATAACAGTGGCGTGTAAGCTTTCACGGCAATACTTTAATTAGTAGATGGCATCATTTCACAACTGTGAAAGCTTTGAGTGTAGTCCAATTAACTAGGTCACTGGCGGTTAAGTGATTTGTTTGTTGTCTCTTATTAGTTGTTAGATAGATGACCCCATTACTTGGCCATAAGTCAATACTATTTCTGTTAAAAAATATGAGATTTTTTTAATCGAATTTCACCATCTAATAAAGTAATTATTTATTTTTAAACTAATTTTATTTTTTCATGTTTATTTTTATTAAATAGTCTATAATAAATATGAAGTCATTCATTAATAGGGGTATTTTTTAAAAAAAGATGATGATTATACTTTGAAAGGTTAAAAATAAAATATTTTATATTTTTGAACATCTAACTCTTTAAAAAATTATCTTTTATTTTTGAACAGACAGAGTAAATTTCAAGCTTTTAGTTTGGGTGGTTATTCTTGGTTACTCCTGTAGGCTTTTGTTTATATTTCATCTATTTTTATGTATAAGATGTCTTTAATCAAATTTTAAGTTATTTAATTGAAATTACATGAAATTATTATAATTTTTCAATTTTGTTTCTAATAATGTCAATTAATATTATGTTGGTAGTGGGATTAATGCACAATTGATATCCCTTCCTTTTTCAAGACAAGGGAAAAATTATCTTATTATTAAAAAATATTATGACATCCTTTTAGATTTAGGGAGAAGATAAGTTTTTATAAAACCTCTTTAGGAATTGAGGAAGTAAGTCACTTATAATATATTTCACTGGAATTAAAGAGTATCTTAAAACTTATTTTGTTTAAAGTTTTAATAAGTTTTTAATTTTATCCCTGTTCAATATACATGATTTAACAATATATTTTTTTTTAGTATTTAATGGAGCGTAAAAAAAAAATTTGTACTGAAGATTTAATGAGCTAACTTGTGAATAAAATTAAATTTTTTTTCCTGCTTGTCCTATAAATATGACGAGAGGGAGTAATTGTAATGATTATACTCTCCAATCTAAAATATAAGTTCTTTTTAAGAAGGATTTGCACACTAATAAAGTTTTTATTTTTATAAAAATATAAAATTATTATTCTTTTTATTCTTAATTTTAATTACCAATGTGTCTCATGTTGAGTAAGATAAATTTATACAAAGGTTAAGGTTACTAAATATAAAGGGTAAAATGATTTTTTTTTATTTCTTACTTGTATCATGTTGTTTATATTTTGTATTTTTTAAATCAAGATTAGTTGGATGAAAATACTTATATTTTGAATTGAAGAGGGTAAAGCTTTTGCAACCTCAAGGTTATAAATTTGATAATTGATGTTACTACGATTCTTTGTTTTTTTTTTTTTTGATAGAACTACCAAGATCTTTCATGGCTATTTTTATAATTTTATTTATAAGTTATTTTTAACATGTTTTATAAGAATTAAAAAAATATTAAAATTTATTAATTATTAATTATATTTAAAAATTTAATAAATTTTTAATTTTATTTCTATTAAATATATATATATATTAATATTATAAATTTTATTAATATTTAATATTTAATAGGGAGGGATAAAAAAAAATTGTGATAACTTAATGACATTACGCATGAGAAGGATTAAAATTGTTTTCCTCTTTGTTTTATGAATTGTATCACAGTTTAATAAATTGTTTAACTACAATAAATATGTAAATTAAATAAAGGAATTGAACTAAAATATCAATTAAATGATATAAGTATACATCAATTGTTTTTCATTGATGTAAATTATAATGGGTAATTTAGGAAATTTGTAATAAATGTATATTAAGATAAATGATTTTGCAAAAAAAAAAAATCAAACGACAGTTTCTAATGAAAACGAGTGTACATGAACAATATGTATTGAGATATACAAGTTTTATCCTTTATTTAATCCAGTGATGATGTTTTGGTGGGCATTCTTGATTTGAAGACGAAAATATCCCACATAAACAATATTTTATTTTAAACTAAGAACATATCAATGGAATATATAATGTCATCTACTTCTATCCATTTCAACTAGAATAATATTAACACTACTAGGTACACAATAGAATTGGTAAAATCTCGCACATTTTCTTAAATATGAAATTTTAAATTTTAAATTTAAATTCAAAACGATAAATCCAAACACTCTTAAATTTTTTAGATCTAGATCGTATCTTGCCTTCTTCAATAATATTTTTTAAGGAGTTGGATGTTCAAAAATGTAAAATATTTTTAATTTTTCGAAGTGTATTACATTGTTTTTTTTTTTAAGTATCCCTTTAATAATGATTTTATAATTATTGTAGGGTATTTAATAGGAGTAAATATGAAAAGATAAAATTAATTTAAAAATAAGTAACTACTTTATTGAAGGGTGATAATTGACTTAAAAATAAATGGAGGAAGTATTTTTTTGGCTCCTCAACTTTTATTTTTCAGATGTGTAAGAAGCAGCTAAGTGTTACGGGCTGAGAGTCTGGTGCAGCACACGGTGCCCGTGCGGCGTCCTGGAGGACCCCATAATCCTCAGGACAAGCCTTACCACATACGAATCGCACTGGTTTCGCCCTGCCATGGGCTCATCAGGGAGGTGGCACCAGCCCCCGACCAGTTGTGCACTCAGTCCGAAGACTGGGCAGAACACCTCCAATGCTAATGTCGCCCCCTTTACCCATATTGTGTGAGGCTAACCAGCGGATCGTTCATTATCTTGGTCTTTACACGATCACGGAAATATCATCCGTGACATAAGACTGCTCTAGAGAAGGGAAAGGACTATGGAGTGGCTAGTGTATTGTAGGACTTTAGGACTATAGGAGTGATGCGATTCCGGACAAAGCCACTATAATTAAAAATAATAATTTAATAATTTAAAATAATAATTATTTTAGGACTAAAATTATAATAACAAGTAAATTGATTATCATTTTATATAGTCTTCTATGTAAATATGCCTTTCATTTATTATCAATTGTTTGAATTAATATTATTTGCAACTTGTTTTTAAGATCAGGAGCTTAACTATTATAAATTTTAAATCATGAGCTTTACTATCATTTTTTCTTAGATCATTTAATCGAATCTTGTATAGTTCATTTTTAATTAGAAATGTAAAAGGAAAAAAAAATTGTTTCCAGGCTGGACGACAGTAATATGTTGAGCTATTAAATTTGTCGCTATATTGCCGACCTACGTCAAGCATGCTTAGAGTCACAAAAAAATGAAATTAGAAAAAGTTAAGGCCAGTTTAGTTTTTGTTCTCATTTTATTTTTAACAACTATTTTATGATACAGTTTTTAAAACTGTTTTTAAAAATAAAATAAAATAAATAAAATAAAAATATATTTGGTTATGTCAAATAAAAAATAATTTTAAAATTAAAAATGAATTGATAGTAATGTTTATAGATAATTAATTGTGGTGAGTAATAATAAAAATTAATCAAGATAATTATAATCTCAAATAATCAAATTTAGTATATTTTAAAAACAAGGAAAATAAAATGAAAACAATTTGAATTTTTTTTGTTTGTAAAAACAAAAAAATAAAAAAAATTTAAAAATAATTAAATAAAAATATTTATTTAAAATTTCCTGTTTTAAAAAATAAAAAATAATTTTTAAAAATGAAAAACAAACGAGCCCTTATTTTGCAAGCTAGACTGCACTTGGGTTGGGTTGGTTTATCCTAGCACACATTTTCTGTGGGCTAGCCTGCCATTTGCTCGCCGAAGGGCAGGTTGCTGTGAGCTACATGATCAAATGGATCTTCCATGAGTTGTATTATGACGCGTACAATGAACTCGGCTGCTTTTGCATGTTATAAAATGTGATTTTTTTTTTTTTGGTTGGATAAAGGTTTCTTAAATGTCTCATCTATGCTACATCAATGGCGGTAATTTGAGTAGGCTGAAATTATTTAAATCAAACTTAAAATATTTAAATATATGAAAAAGCCCATTATAGCTATAAGATTGATCTTAACACCTCAAGCTTTTGAACTTATTCAGACCAGCTCATATACTCAAATTGTTAAATATTATTTTATTTTCTTTGTCCTTTTTTTAGCTAATTTCAATTTTTATTTTAAAAGTAAAGATTTTCAATTTTATCTTATTTAATTTTACTTTATTAATAATAAAAAAAATTCAGGTATTTGAGTTAAATCCATTTAGGTTTGGACTTTGCCTAGTTTTCTTCCAATTTATTCGGCCAGCTTGACTAAACCCAAGCCAAAAAAATTTTTTAAACTCTCAAGCTCAGGCCTAAAATTTTAGGGCTTGAGTCAAATTACTATTTCTAATTACATCTCTTTTAGCATAAAGGGTTGGGCAACGTCTTCGAATGTGTTTGAAAAACATCCCAAAAGCTCATTACTTGATCACAAGTCTTGTTTGGAAAAAAGAAAAACAGTTGGGAATGAGTGGTGGGGAGTGAACAATCATTTTGAGGGAAGCTAGTTGAGGGAGCTTCTTGTAACATTCCAAAAATTTAAAATAAAATTAATTAAATTAAGTTAAGGGGGTTTAAATATTTAAATGAGGTCTTTAGGAATTAATTATAGTGGGTGATTGACCATTGAATCCAATTGACCCTATATGGACTTAAAATAGGACTTTGGTACCTATTGGGCCATCTTGAGCTCAAATAAATATCATTAGGGTTTCTTGTGCTATGTCAATCACACTCCAAAAATTAGACGCGACCAGCACAAGATATATGTATAAATATATATCCTTTAAGTTTTGATCAAGTAAACTTTAATATAATATTTTAATTCATTTGAAATGAGATGGGAAGTCATTGTAAAATTTTCATATAAATAAAAGATTCCTAAATTTTTTGTAAGAATTTCTTCAGAACCTCCTTTGTAAATAGAATATTCTCAAATATTTATAATGGCAATATATAGTCCAAATCAAGAATACGGAGCTCTACTCCTTCATAACAGATGTAATATCCTAAA